TTAACGTCATTGTACGTCCCCCTCGAAATGACGAAATTTTGATTCTAAACATTTTTTCGTAGTGTGCTTATTTTTCGAGTTATTTGGCTGCCTAAGTTAAAATGGGTCACCCTGTATATATATATGTGTGTGTGTGTGTGTGTGTGTAAAAAGAAAAATGTATATGTTGTTGTTAATATTTAAATCTCCCGAATTTCATAAATTATTTGATTATTCAGATATAAAAATTCTATACAAGAAAATTGTGGCTACACTAATAGATTACAATAACCTGATGGGACAATAAAAATCACACATTTGTTTGCAAACTTCGCATTACAATCGTGACACACTTACAAAGCATATAGTAATATACTGTATTAGTCATTTAAAACAAGTGTTTCAACTCAAATGTAGTGCGAGCAAAATGAAATGAGAATCATAGGCGACGAGAGTATCTAGTTTGACGTCAGTGATATTAATGTACGTGTCTGTAGCACAACCGGCAAATGAGTCATATTTGACGTGAGAAGTATAATTGATTAAGGTGAATATGCGACTGACTTTTAGGATACGCACGCGCGTCCGTGCAATTGTACAATTGCTCTATTATCGAGATCGCATCTAACAGTAATGGAGGAGCTGAGGGAAGGAGGGAGCAGGATGCGCGCACCGACTGTCTGCAACACACGATGCTTCTTTGATGCGTATATAATTACACTCACCTTTGATCGAACTTCTCTGTACGTAAAGCGAACTGACTTGCGAATCACCGAGAAATTTGCGTATGCAATCCTGGTTATATCTTTCCTCGAGAGCCATGTTGAACGCGGGCGGCATTACGTCCTCGTCCGGTAATAGAACAGTAACTGTTTTACGGAGATAATTCGCGAACGCTGTGAATTCGACGACCGCGACATTCTGTGACTCCGGAGACGGTTCCCCGGAGCCATCTAAAGAATCGCCCATGCCGAATCGGCAATAGGTACTACTTGATCTTTGCCGAAGGTGGTCTTTAAGCGGATGATAGCGGAAGCGTACGGAAGATAAACCAACTCCTTCGCTCCGAAATGTTCCGAAATGAACTGTCAAGCAACTTGAAACATGAACTATGCAATCGCAGAAGAGTTTGGTACATACAGTCAGGTGCAATGAAATGGTTTCTGCCCGGTTTACATGAGTTGTTGTTGTTATTCAATGGTTCGGGAGCCAGGTCCATTAACCATTAATACACAGAATTCTCTCGACAAATGAACAAAATTCTAGAAATGATTGTATTAGAACAAAGCCTTAGGGCTATCGCACACAAATTGACATAACTGCATATGCATAGCATAAGACCGTATGTACCAATGAGCATCGAGTATTAAGTCGCCATATTGGTGTTCGATGCTTAATATTCGATGCTCATTGGTCCATACGATCTTATGCTATGCATATGCAGTTATGTCAATTTGTGTGCGATAGCCCTTATAGCTTTAAAGCTTTAAGCTCGTATCAGACTACGGATTAAGATTGAGATTGAATTGAAAATTGGCCAATCAGAGCAAAATTCACTAAGCTCAAGTTTGGTGAACTTTGTTCTGATTGGCCAATTTTCAATTCAATCTCAATCTTAATCCGTAGTCTGATACGAGCTTTAGATTCTTCTTTCTGATCTGCTAATAAAAAGAGCTAAGGGTCGTGGCACACAGAAAAACTTAAGCAGTAAGCAAATTGACCAGTCACAGTTGTTGATTCTTCTTACGGTCCAAGAATCAACGACTGTGATTGGCTGATTTGCTTACTGCTTATGCTTACTGCTTAAGTTTTTCTATGTGCCACCAGTTTTAGGGGCCATTTACAATGGAAAATTGTACGCCGTAACAGTAAGAAATTGACCAATTATACTGGATTTTTACAAGAATAATCGATTGTGATTGGTTAATTTCTTATTGTTGCAGCGTATGATTCTCCATTGTAGATGGCCCTTTAAGCTGGTGGCACATAGAAAAACTTAAGCAGTAAGACGTAAGCAGTAAACGAATCAGCCAATCACAATAGTTGATTCTTGGACTGTAAGAAAAATCAACGACTGT